ACCAATACAGGAAACCCTTACGATATTGTAGATTAACTATAATTGTAATTTTATTGTTTAACAGTATAGCCGGGATAATCAGTCTGTTATCTTGATAGCAGGTAATTTAGTGTTAACAACTGAGTTGGAAACATAAATTAGCCACCGTAAAGGGTAAAAAAGCTGACGTTTCGAGCGTTAGCCCTTCGTCTTGATAGCTTTTTCATACCCTTTTGTTACTGACGCCGATATTGGACCAAACAGATCCTTGACATTTCCAACTGCTCAGTGTGGTGAGGATAAAAGAAATCATCTCTGTACCTGTATTTTATCCCAGAGGACAAATAATAGACAAGTTTTGACAGGTCCTGACACTAACCACATCTTGAAAGCTGTCAAGTTAAAGTGGGTAATTATCAAACTTTTATTATATCGCACTTGTGCTGACTGAAAAATTACGAACAAAATACGACAAAGAAGAGTAAAAACCAAGAAAGTACTAATGATTCAGCCATACTTAAACGATGCTTTTATGGCCCAGTTCGACATAAGACAGACTTTTAAGTACACTCATATAGAAAACACAATTTTTCGATTTGTTTTGTTTTAGTGCATGGAGTTTCCCAGTTCTTTTACAGTCTTATAGACTGAAATGATCTTAATCTTTCCAAATTACACATTTGGAATCCGTATCAATTTTGTGAATCTCCGTTCCTTTTAAGTTTTTTTTTTAATACTTCCAAAGCTTTGCGGTAAGCTGTTTGTCTACCGATGGAAAACGATTAGGCCTCGGTTTTTTTCTAAATATGGTAACTCTTTATAATGCTAAAATGACTCCAAAGTACTAATTTCTAAACAATTTCAAATTTACACGTCATTTCAAGAGTTGAAATAATGAATTCAAATTTTGGAAAGAAAAGTTAATACTTTACTTTTTTGATAGCCAAAACAAGTCAGTTATTATTCATTTTAGGCACGGTTACAGTTACCCAATATCAGTGTTAGTAAATATTGCAGGTATCAGTATGTGCTTAATTCAATATGTCGAAAAAATTGCACAGTCTGTTTCGTGTTTATCCAGCTTTTACTTAAATCTCGATTTAAGGGTTGGTATCTAAACATTATTGACATGGCATTTACCATAAAACAAAAGATGCGGCAGAGGTAAAGTGATTTCCCAACCACAATTATTTCAACTTTTCTGGCGAATTGTCCAACTGCACTTAACTTCTATTAATTATCCATCCGCTCTGAAAGTCGGTGCCACGTTGAGATGAATCGCACAAAGCTTTCTTAGCGATCAGTCACTTGCGCACCAAAAGGTAAGTCTGTGGTTCCACGTTCGATTTATTTTCAGTCATTTAGATTCTCTGAGTTAACGTGGTTAGGAATTTGTGCGATGCCTGTTCTAAAGCTTCCACTCAGTTACAGTAAATTATAGCCGAATAGTCGTGTCTTCTGTCATGTAACTCTTCTCGCTGGTCGCGCTTGCATCCTCTGTTCGAGATTCCCCGTTCGAGATTCCCTCTAAAGAGCTTCACCTAAGATATCACGTCCTTAACAATAGAATGAGCCCGAATTCGACAATATTCGATTTATAATATGATATGATTCTTCAAGATTATACTTACTACAGCTGTTTTGACCTTATATTTGTACCCAGTGACGGACATAGGCGCACTAGTTTTAAATAAGCGACATTATTTTCCTGTCTGTTTTACATAATGCTTAAAATATCAAGGGCCACGACAAAGTCTTTTCATTGTCTGGAGTAGTATTATTTGCTCTCAATCAAGTAAACCTGTCATCGAATATGGACTAAGTCGAATCTTGTATTTTTTGAGAACCGCTACAAGCAAGTGAAACGTAACTTTCAGGAATCGACATTAGTAGCAAAAGTATTACATGAAATCACCAGAAGCAATAAGGAAAAATTGATCTAAATCCTCCAAAGAATTATTTTTTTCAAGATGGAAGCATGCTTTGCATCGAAACAAAATAAAGGATTAGCAATTCTGAAACTTTGCATCCGATTCGAACCTTAAGCCATGTCCTGTAACTGAATATGGTAATTTTAAAAGCTCTCTCTTCCAGCCCAAACGATCTCCCACCGAATTTTGATGACAATGAATGTTTCATTTTATTGTGAATGCTTATTATGACTTGTAGTAACCTTCCCTCCCAAACGAGCTAACTCTAAAACATCCAAAGTCGCGAGTGTGCATAAAAACGTTTCAAAAATATGGTATCATAGTCTCAGGACAATTCTCTCAGATTTTAAAATTGTTTCGAAAAAGGAGACAATGTTTCCTTCTGAGGCAAAGAAGAGGAGGTGAAATACTTTATTTGAGTGGAACCTTAATCCAAGTCTAACATGCATATAGAAATTTAAAGCGCTTTTCCCGCAGCGGTTAAATGCGCACAGAAAGCTCGAAAGACATACGTAAATCACTCGTACCCATCATTTTAGAGTTCATGTTCCGTAATAACGTTCTTCACGGCTGAGAAATCCGTGACCCCTGATTCTGCATAAAAAATCATCTTAAAACGCTTTTTATTTGAAGAATCTTCATCGCTTTGGGAGATCTTTATTATTATTATTTTTTGCATCTGAGTGAAGCATTAATCCAGGCATGAAATTTAAAAGTATATTTTGAGCCTTTTTTTTCTAGCAGTTAAAAGCACACAGAAAACTAAAGAGGAATAAGGGAATCATCCACGCGAAATATATTCGTTAACACCTACATGCAACTTCTGTAGAACAGTCTAGAACTTTTTGATCCTTTACCTCGCATAAAAAATAATTCTAAACGTTAGCTATTTTTAAGGGCCTGTACTTTCTAGAGGGTTTTTATATTTCCTTTCATTATCTAGTCATTTATCTATTTCAAAGCATCTGTCTTGCAATTTAATAGTTCACGGAAGAATATTCTACGAAATAGCTGTTGCTTGTAATCCCTCTTTTCGATGCTTCGCTGTTGAAAATATTTAAGAGCTATTTCTATGCTAGATATTTCATATCTATGATAGAAATAAGGCAAATTTTACTTATCTGAGATGATAGTCCAAATCATAAGACGAGCTTTGAACGCGTTCGTGCAGCACCTAAAAGCTAAATTTTGCGAGCAGATCGTCAATGTTGGAAAATGCTAATGATCTAAGCTTGAAATGATTGTCCATAGTTCGCGTTTCCTTGGTGACGCGATATTGGAGGACAAATGTGAATAATAACGGATCCTCTTGAAACAGCTTCTACATGATGTTGTTATGTTAAAACATGGCTACAGGGTTATCAACCGCCACTAAAGAATCATTACAGCCAATGACAATACAAAGAAACTGACCAATCAGTTATTGAAACTCGGCCAGAAGTAAAACTAAGGCTAGCATAAAACTTTACCACCTTGAGGTCTTCCCTTTTGATGTCATCATTGCTGTTTCACTATTGGCATAAATTGATCAAAGGCCAATGATTTTGACAGCTACCTGCAGAAAGTACTCTTTTTAAAACGGTTATGTAATACCTCCGGTATTCAGATTCCCGACAAATTAAGGAAATTCGATTATGCAACAACACATAATAGCAGGGGGTTTCAGTGATCTCAACCATAAGCGGCTGCTGACGGTTTTATAGGCGGTTGTGCTCTAGGCCGTAAGGCGAGACACAAACACACGGCCTAAACAGACTGCGGTAAGAGATCATATGAGTCGCGATAGACCCACGGTAACCGAATTTTATCAAAACTCTTGCGGTAGGCATTATGCTTAGTCGTTCTTTTTGGGGAGATGAGTCAATCTGTAAAGTTCATTGAGTGGCATCTCAAAAGAGCAAACACTTATTGTCGTGGCCTTTTAACCTTTTTAGCAAAAGAAGAACAGGTAAACCATGAACATGTTTTTCTGGTAAGGATATATGCAAATCAGTTTCAAAAACGTCTGTTTACAAGAACATGCTATGGTAATTTATCAGAAGATTAAGCCAGATATTTTTTTAATTCTTCAAAGCAACCTTATTTGAAATAAGGTCTCCTCTTCCATAGTTAACATAAAAATTAAGATCTTTCTTACCACGTAACCGCCTTTCGTATATACATGTTAATTCAAGATTTTGTTCGCTATTTCGATGGAGGGTCTTTGGGCAGCATTAAGTGTAAATATTGATAAACGCAAGACGAATATTTAGAGCAGTGAATTAATACTCCAAGTCTCTTCCTTCTTTTTTAGGTACGACGCATCATGAGCCTTCCAACAGAAAAAGCGATACCTAATGTCAGAAATGGGACTGAGGATTCACAAGCAACAGAAGAACTTAGCGAACAGGTCTATTACGCAATTGCCAGCGTGTATGTTGTCCTCGCGGTAATAGCATTCATTTTTAATACTCTTGTGCTTGTTGTATTCACGAAGGACAGCTCCCTTCGCTCGCACTCAAACATTCTTATTCTTAGCATAGCTATTGGCGACTGGATACAAGCAGTGGTAGCATATCCGTTGGGGGTTATTGGCATTTTATCAAAGAGTTGGCAAACGACCGGAACGACTTGTTCATGTTACGGCTTCATTGTGGCGTTTTTATCCTTTAGCACAATGCTACACCATGCCACTTTTGCCATCGAACGTGCCATTGTAATTAAGTTTTCTTTCTCATTTTCCATTGTCAACAAATTAAAATACATCATCTTTGGACTTTGGTTGTTTGCCCTAATTTGGAGCAGCTTGCCTCTGATTGGCTGGTCAGGGTATGCCCCTGAGGGAGGACGCTCGGTTTGCTCGATTGACTGGCAAAGTTCTGATCCAAGTGCTGTTGCTTACATTTGGTGCATCTTCGTTCTTTTCTTCCTAGCTCCTTTTATTACCATGGTTACCGCATACGGCTCTATCTACCGCAACGTGAAAAGAATGACTCAAACTGCGCATAATATTTGGGGAGAGTACGCTGCTCAAACTTTAGAAACTATTTTAGCAGAATCAAGAACCGCTCGAATGGCATGCATTATGTCATTTTGTTTCTTATTTGCATGGACACCGTATGCTGCTGTATCACTTTATGCCATCATACGAGCACCGGAGCCTGCCATATCTCCCTTGATGGCCACCTTACCCGCTCTTTTTGCTAAAACAGCCCCGTGTTATAACCCGCTTATTTACTTCTTGCTGTTTAAGAAATTCCGCTCCAGTCTCAGAAAAGTGCTGAGGCCATTACCAATCTGCAGGCGCTTTTTGAGACAAGAATCAAGTGGCGGAAATATGGAGGTGATCTCACGTTTAACAGCTTCTGATGATAAAGAGAACACCAGCAAGCCTAATGAAGTATTACCAAGACAGGTTCAAGAT